TTATTCATGATTTCTCACACATGTTGACAGATGGGCATAGTGATGCATTTGTTTTACACTGGTTATCTGGAAAGAAAATGAGATATTTTATTTATTATTGAAAAGATCTTGGAAAAATTACTGTTTTCAAACTTATTCATATTTTTGGTAGCTTCGGTAAACGATTTGGGTTTTCATTGATGTACTTGAAAGGCAGAACTATTTTTAGAAGTCATGATTTAGCTGAGCATTTATTCTTTGAGTTACTTCTGGTATTACTTGTTTAATATTGTTATGAACTATTGTTGGTTATGGAAGTTGGACTCTGACCTTGGTACAAGCTCGTCACTACTTTCAACCTAAGGCTAGGTTTGTTACTTACTCAGTACATGGGGTCGGTTGTACTGATACTACACTTCTGCACATTGTGTGCAGATATTGGCTGTTGTTGTTGCTGTGTTCGATGGTTGCCGGATTTGAAGATGTACCTGCATTCCTGTTGTAGCTGCCTCTTGTTCAGGGTAGCCTTCTATTTATAAAAGCTCTGTTTATGTATTATTCAAACAGACTATGTATTTATTTCATTTTCGCTTTGTATACTCTATTTTTAGAAACTCATGATTTGTACTACCAGTTCTTGGGGGATGTATAAGATTAAGATCTTTATTCACTTAAATTGCTTTAATAATTGTTATTGGAATTGGATAATTGAAAGTTCGCTTACCTAGCGGGTTGGGTTAGGTACCATCACGACTAGTTGGATTTTGGGTCGTGAAAGAATGCGTGGAAGGAATTCAAAGAGTTATATTTCAATGTGCAGAAGTGTAGTATCAGTACAACCGACCCCATGCACTGAGTAAGTAACAAACCTAACCTTAGGTTAAAAGCAATGACGAGCTTTTACCAAGGTCGAGTCTAAAACCAATAGTTCACCACAACCCATAACAACGTAAAGCCAATAATATAAGAAGCAACTCAGAAATAAAATACTCAGCTAAATCATGATTTCTACAAATAGTTCTTCCTTTTAAGTACATTAGTGAAAAACCCAAATCGTTTACCGAAATTTTCAAAAATATATGAATAAGTTTGAAAGCAATAATTTTTCCAAAATCCTTTCAATAATAAATGAGATGTTTCATTTTCTTTCCAGATAATCCGTGTAAAACAAATGCATCACTATGCCCATCTGTCAACATGTGTGAGAAATCAGATACTGTACAGAATGAGGAAACTACATCTCTATGCATGTATGTCATGTGTGCATGTCAATGCGATGCAACTCAGTGATAAAATCATATGCATACTCTCAGAGTATCATTTCACTCAGTCCTCACAGTCACTCAGTCCTCCCAATCACTCAGCACTCACACTCAGTAGGTACCTGTGCTCACTGGGGGTGTGTACAGACTCCGGAGGGGTTCCTTCAGCCCAAGCGCTATAATCTGCACGGACAACTCACGTGTTGCATGGACAACTCACGTTCTATAATAATATCTGGATCCGCACGGCCAACTCATGTGCTGACAACTCACGTGCTATAATAATATCTGGATCCACACGGCCAACTCACATGCTGCACGAACAACTCACGTGCTATAATAATATCTGGATCCGTACGGACAACTCACGTGGTATATTAAATCCTATAAGGCCTGCTGTAGGCGGGCAACCCCGATCCACATAATAATCCTCAAAATCAGGCCCTCGGCCTCACTCGGTCATCAATCTCTCTCTCATGGGCTCATAATGTCATGAAAATAGCCCAAAAATGATGATATGATGTATCAATAAATAATAACAGAGACTGAGATATGATATGTAATGACATGAATATGACTGAGTATAATTTTCAATTTAAAACAAATAATTCACAACAATATGACCTCCGTGGTTCCCAACAATACTAGCACATAGCCTCAACATAATTTTTAATATGATTCTCAGCTCAATTTCTTTAGCACATAAAACTATATAGAAAATGCCAAAATTATTTGACTACAAAATTTTACGGGAACAATTATGTCATAATTTCTGTGGTGCACGCCCACATACCCGTCACATAGCATGTGCGTCACCTTCCAACAATTCACATAATACTTATATTCAGGGTTCATACCCTCAGCTCCAATATTAAAAGAGTTACTTATCTCGATTAAGACGAATCCAATGCCGAGCAAGCTAAACAGTGCTCCAGAAATTCCATTCTGCACGTATCAACTCCTGAACGGCTCAAATCTAGCCACAATAAATTTGATTTAGTCCACACAATTATGGGAAATTAGGAATTAGTTCCATATCAAAATTCTAATATTTTTTCACAAAATCCGAAATTACACTAAATAAATTGCTCGTAGGGCCCACGTCCCGAAAACCGATAAAAGTTACAAAATATGAATACCCATTCAACCACGAGTCTAACCATATAAATTTTACTCAAATCCGACATCAACTCGACTCTCAAATCTCTAAATTAAACCAAGAGGGTTTTGCACAATTTTCCAACTTAATTCACTAATTAAATATTAAAAACAATCATGGATTCGGGTAATTTAACCAATATTGAGTTAAGAACACTTACCCCGTTGTTTTCTTTGAAAATCTCCCAAAAATCGCCTCTTCCCGAGCTCCAATCCATCAAAAATGAAAAATTAGAATTTAAACTCTTTGCCCAGTCATTTCTTCTATGCGACCGCAGACCAAGTCCCGCGATCGCGAAGCACAATATCTCCACTGCCAAAATAACCATATGCGATCGCGTACAAGGTTATGCGATCGCGTACAATGTTATACGACCGCGAAGACCAAAATACACTGCCCCCAAAACTTCTCTTCGCGACCGCATCATAATACACACGAACGCGAAGCACGAGCTTCCCAGGCCTACGCGATCGCGGACAGCCCACACGTTCGCATAGAACAATGCTTGCGAACCCCAGCTGCCTCACCTCCTTTTCGCGAACGCGGCTTTGCCCACGCGTTCGCGATGTATTCTCTCTTCCCAGCTACGCGATCGCGATTCTTCCCACGCGATCACATAGAACAAAAATATCCCTGCCCCAATTAAGCTTGCGCGATCGCTGATGGACCTATGCGATCGTGTATAATGAAACCAAAAGAAGGCAGTATCAGATATCAACAATCTCACAAAGGCCAAAAATGATCTGTTAATCCCCCCAGAACTCACCCGAGCCCCCCGGGACCTCAACCAAACATACCAACAAGTCCTAAAATATGATACAAACATAGTCGAGCCTTCAAATCACATCCAACAACACTAAAAACACGAATCATACCCCAATTCAAGCCTAATGAACTTTGAAATTTTAAGTTTCCACAAACAACGCCGAAACCTATCAAATCACGTCCGATTGACCTCAAATTTTGTACAAAAGTCATAAATGACATAACAGACCTATTAAAATTTTTAGAATTGGATTTCGACCCTGATATCAAAAAGTCAACTCCCCGGTTAAACTTTCCAAAAATTCAACTTTCGCCATTTTAAGCCTAATTCTACTACTAACCTCCAAATATTTTTTCGGATACGCTTCTAAGTCCAAAATCACCATACGGAACTATTGGAATCATCATAATTAAATTTCGAGGTCGTTTACATATAAGTGAATATCCGATCAACTTTTCCAACTTAAGTTTTCAATTATGAGACTAAGTGTCTCATTTCACTCCGAAATCCTTCCGGACCCGAACCAACTAAATCATTAACTGTTAAATCAACTGTAAGGCATAAATTGAGCAGTAAATGGCGAAAACGGGGCTTGGATACGCAAAACGACCAGTCGGGTCGTTACAATGCAAATACACGCCTACCTGTTATTTCCAATCATTACAGATATCATGCCTATAGGTTTATTTAGACATATATTTCGAAACAACTCGATAATTTGGCAATCACTTAGACACTGCCTTTACATGTTTAAACTGGTTCGCGTGATTAACCTAGTATCGACATTGTTGAATTGCCTCTCCTTAATTTATTTGCTTGCGCTTTATCTGTTCTATCACGCGAATACTATGTGAGAGGTGAACTTGAGCCTTGTGATTTCTATTTAACCATTATTGCCTTACATTCTAGTACTTTTAATCGTCTTTTGAGTATTAATTATATTATTTTATGCTTAATATTATATTTTAACTGTGTAGGAATAAAACAGTATGTAGATGAAGAGATTTGAAGCAAAACTGAATAAAACGTGAAAGAAAAATAAACGAATAAAAAAAGAAGAAAAAGAGGACACCCTTTGGTGTTTGTCCCCAATTGAAAGACAAAAAAGCAAAGGAAATACATTGCAAATAAAGAATGAAAGAAGGAAAAGAAAACGTACCTGGCAGCAAACAAAGAACTGGTGCGGAAAATATACTGGTTTCTGGTCTGGACCCTAAGTTGCAAGATTTCTCCTATTTCGCCCAGGACAATGTTATTTCGGTCCTACACAACCTCAACTTGTATAAAAGGGGTTTTAAACCTATTTTGGAGGGGAGAACATTTTTGAGAGGAACTTTTGACCAAGCGAGAGCACAGAGCCGCCGTGGAGACCAGATTTCATCTTTTCTTTCACCAAACACTACAAGAAAGAAGGCATCTGCCAACAACAATTTTTGTTGCCATAAATCAAATGTTGTTGCCATAAAAAAGTTGTTGCACGTCGTGTCAATAAACGTCGATGGGAAAAGTATTCGCAACAACCAACAATAGTATGGGAAAAATTATTGTTGCCTTAAATTATATTTTGTTGGTAAAAAGTCATGTAAATGTGACTTATGAGAACATTTTACAACAAAACTTATTGTTGCAAAGAGTGAGCATATTTACCAACAATATTTGTTGTGGTGAAAACATTGGCTGGAAAATTAGTTATTGATTTATTATCAAGGCTTTTAGCAACAATTGCTATTGTATTTATGAATTACCTTTTGCGAACAATAATTTCACAAATGTATATATATAAAATAATAAATTATATATATAAATGTCAATACATAAAATTGATACACAAGTATTTACTCTCTTTCAAAAACTAAATCTCTTAAAATGTATGCTTTTACTTACAAAAAGAATGAAAGCATTATATACAAGGTCATTAAATTCTAATCTAATTAATTCCAAAATAAATCTTCTTCCAACAGCTTGTTGCACCGCATGAACCATATTTCCAATGATGATTTAAGCATGTCCATCCTACAAAAGAAAATAAATATAATTACATTTTGATAAAAGAAAATTTTAAAGTACAAAACTACAATTAACAAAGAAAAATAGGGAATCAGATATGCCTATTGTCCACTTACTAAAAATTGCAACTACTTCATCGCTGAAAATGTTACATATTACAGAATTGTTGAACAAAAACATTCAGCTAAAAGAAAACTGAATATAAGTTGCAAAAATTATAAGATCAAGAGAACTACTCTAAATAGAATTGAATAAATTGAGTTGTAAATCTTTCAAAAATTCCACATCAAAGTTGAATACTTCCCCTTCCCCAAACAAAGTTGCTGCACCAGAACCTACTAAATACTCCCAAAGTTATAATATTATAGTCAAAACCAAATACATACAAAGATTGATTCAAGTAAATAGGCTCATTTATGCGTACAACCAAGATATTTACTTTTTCATGAAAGATAAAGTTACTTAGCATGACTTGTAGACTTGCCTCATCCTCTTCTTCCAAAATATAGCACTATAAGATCAACAAGTATAAATAGTAGCAGGAATGCGAAGGCCGTAAAACAGAGTAGAGGAAATAAAAAATACAATTCACTATATGACACTGGTTCCATCAATTTCAATCTCCTCCATAGTTTTTCCAATTCATTGACAAAATCAAGAATCTTCAAATAAATTTAATTGGTTGTGTATTTGGAATTACACAACAGGTCCAACTCTACTAGAAACATGTACAACAATCATGCCATAGTCATAATTATAGGCTGCAAGAAATATTGGACTATCATAAGGGAAAAAGAGATGCATTGAGTAATGGATAGTGTTAGAACAGAAATAATAGCCTCCTTCCTTGGGTTTCCTCCTAGGCTGCCTAACATAAATAAGGATAGAGGTGGGACATGTTGAGGTTTTATTTTTTAAGATGTAATATTCTTAAAATGAGGGTGAATGAGAAATGGAGGGAAAATGAAATTTTGAGTAAAATTTTAAGTTTCCCCCTCTTAACAATGAGACATTGTCCCATATTGGAAGTGGAAGACATTTTTGGTGGGTATATATATAATTGCTCTTCTTGTAGCTCTTAAAGAGTTAAGAAGAAAGCAAGCCTCGCGCCGTCGTCGTCGTCGCTCGCTCGGCTCGGCTTCGGCTACGGCTACGGCTTCGGCTTCGGCTTCGG